GAATGCATGCATTTGAAAGGAAAACAGACCTCACTGAGAATTTTGTGTTTTTTATAATTGCAGCTTGATAAGAAATTACTCTTGACTGTTGTTGCAAGTTCAGCACAGACGCCATCATTGTCTCCACTTGCAGGTTCACCACGGTGGTTCTGGGCTTGGTGAGCCTGAAGAATGTTGCCGTGTCATTCGCTGAAACAGTGAAGAGCTCGGCGCCCATTTTCACAGTCATCATGTCAAGACTGATCCTCGGGGAGTACACGGGTAAAGTTCACGTTGCTGTGCTGGCTTCAGGGCGTGTCTTTCATGTGCGAAGGAACGGTGAACGCCTTATTGGTGTTGGCGTGCCTGGGTGTAGTCAGACCAGTTGGGCAGCTGCAGCTCTGGTTGCTGGTTTAGTTTAGATAAACACGGTGATTCATTTCACCTATCCCTTTTGTGTGCAGGGCTGTGGGTGAATCTGTCCCTGTTCCCAGTCATGGCCGGCCTGGGCCTCTGCACAGCCACCGAGATCAGCTTCAACATGCTCGGCTTCTCCGCTGCTCTCTCCACCAACATCATGGACTGGTACTGCAGCACACAGCACAGCTTTTCCACCAGCGGTGTATTCCCTACTTTGCCCTAACTCTTGTCTCTCTGATCTCAGCTTACAGAATGTATTCTCCAAAAAACTGCTAAGTGGAGACACGTACAAATTCAGGTAAAATCAGGCTTTAATTTAAACAGGTAGTCTCACTGAGAGCGAGGTCTGTCTTTCAAGAGAGACCTGCGTACAAAAAGCATATATACAAATAGAGACAAACGGCTGGATAATAACAGGGCACATTGTACATGATCATAACTGAAGAAAAACAAGTGCAAAATGGATAATTAAACCCTTTAGAAGACTTCAGTGAAATCATTTAATGCAGCTTTTTGACTCTAAGCTGTAAAAGGCTGATGGGGTGAACACACAGCTCTTTTTTTTTTTTTACTTGGTTGTCTTATTTCAGCCCTCCCGAGCTGCAGTTCTACACCAGTGCGGCAGCAGTCATCATGCTCATACCTGCCTGGCTGTTTCTTTTGGTGAGGCAAAACAGAAGTTCTTAATTTCCAGACTTGTTAGGCATTACAATACTTAAGAAAACAAGCGGGTAACGTTCTTGATGGTTCTCTGTTTAATTTCCAGGACATCCCAACGGTTGGGAAGAGCGGACAGAGCTTGATCTTTAGTCAGGACATCATCCTGTTGCTGCTTTTCGATGGTTGCCTGTTCCACCTGCAGAGCGTCACTGCCTATGCGCTCATGGGAAGGATTTCTCCTGTTACTTTCAGGTAGGACACAAAGTCAGAAGCACTTTATCCTGCATGCCATGAGTTTCTTGGAGGCCATAGTTCCTGCTACAGTTAATTAATTGATGTATTTGAACCGCCCACACTTAGCGTAGTAGATAACCACTTGTTGCGTCTGCAGATTTTCAAGTCACACCAGTATCATCTTATCTTATCATCTCACCGGCACTGACTAAAGTCTGTTCTCTGCTATAATAACTTCTGCTGACTTTGACTGCACACTGTACAGCATCGATTTGCACCTCTGTGCTGTCTGTTTACAATAGACAAACCAATCCATTAGTGAGCGTATCTGAATCTACAAAGTCCAGCGTGTTTGGCTCCCTATCCCACCTGACAGATGGGATGTGTGCCGCAGATTCCAAAATAGCTTCAGTGAAACCACAAAATGCTTAAACTTTACCGTGCTCTGCACAAGAACACGAGAGACAGCAGCAGAGATGCTGAGGCGGAGCGTGCCCAGCATGGGAATGCTCTTAAGGAGCTCGTGCACACAACACTGTATATTTCTCAATATAGACCTTTTAGATTCTGTAGCTGGAAGTTATTAAAGTGGGCCTACTATACCCATTTCCAGCTCCATATATTTTTCCTTGGGCTTGAGTTGATTAATTTGGATATGCTTCACTGTTCACAGCGGGCCTTTGTGCAGGTATTTTAGTTCCATCTCTCTAAGGCGTCAACTGATTTAGCCCTTTTCTTTTGATTGGTTGTGCCCCACTGACGGCAGCTTGGTGAGGCTTGGAGAACATGTTAGGGATCGCTCCTTTCTTTGACATCAAGAGCTGAAAGAAGAAAAAAAAATGAGAGAAGGAGCTTTTAAAGCAATCTGACATGTCATGAGGATAACTTATATGTACGCTGAAATTAAGATTGGAGACTGTTTAATCTGAGAATTCACCGTTCTAACATTTATATGCAGATCCTAAGGATGAACATATAAAAGTCATATTAAGAAGTTTAAACTGGATGAATTTGTTGTTAACCCCAGTAATAATCATCCTCATTCTTCCTCAGTGTTGCCAGTACTGTTAAGCACGCCCTGTCTGTGTGGCTGAGCATCATTGTGTTCAGCAACCAGGTAACCATCCTCAGCGCCACCGGGACCGTCCTCGTGTTCATCGGGGTCTTCTTGTACAACAAAGCCAGGCAGTTCCAAAGAGCAACCTTACAGGCCATGGCTGCTGAGCAGAACCACAAACCCCTTCTCCACGACCAGGACTTCAAAGCCTCTCAGTCTCACTGAGTAGCCCGCTCTTAAAGCTGCAGTGCTGCTTGAAATGAACTGGAAGCATCAACAGTTCACTCCGTTTCAAGAGCTTCTGTCTTTCAGGGTTCCTTCAGTGTCACTGTTAAAGTAAACCATTTGATGGCTTGATGAGCTGTGGGTGTGTGACCGAGCTGTCAGCCATCAGTCATCCTGTGGAACATTCTCACCAGTATTTCTTTGTACCTGACCGGATGACCACTTTAAGCCTTTTTGATCCTTTCTTTGTCTTTTATTGGTCAGTAAAAGGAAGCTCAGGGTGTTTTTCCTACATTTGCATTCCATTACTGGCTAGTTTATCTCTCATCTGTGGTATAGCAGCTACTAAACGCATGGGAACTGCAAAGCTCGGACGCTGTAAGATTTAAAATTTTGTAGTGATGTTAATCTTCATTGTATAATCCAGTGTAAAATGTATCTTAATAGCGTCTGAGTGTAGGATGTATGAAGGGCTCCAGTGCCCGAGGTAGGAGGCCTTTTTTGAGGCTTGTCCAGCCAAAGCTTAAGACTGCTTTACACGTTAGTAATCCATGTGTAAAACACTTGGATGCCACATTATTGCATTCTGAGAATGCTCATCCTCTATAACGTTATAGCTTTTTTCACTTTTTTCACTTTTTTTTCATGTGTACACATAAAGCTGACATGACCACTGATCCACGCTGGGATGGCAGCCCTGTTAATCTAATCAGGAAAAGAGGACTGAAAGAAGGAATAAATGTACAAGCGGCTGTTTTTATACATTTATAATCTTTTTTAAAAACAGTTTATTACAACTTGGGTTTTATTTCTGTAGTTCTTGCCAGTGGCCATGAAGCTTTGTGTCCAGCAGAGCGCCAGCGGTATTTTCATTTATTTTTTTTAAATAAATTGTAAAATCAGCACTTGAGGCGTTACTGTGAGTGTAACTATGTTCCTCGATGACTTGGTTAACAGATGTTTATGCATCTTCTTGTTATTTTTGGTGATTTGTTAAACAGAAATGAATTTTAAATTGAAATAAATGAAACACTACTTAATAAAAGAACCACAGCTGCGGTAGTTTTCCAGAACCTCTTTAGTGGGCACCATATTTTGTGTGTGTCTGCTAATCATCTGCCATAAACATGGCAAACTTCCTGGTTCAGCTCTGCTTGCTGCAGTTGTAAACACTCGGTTCTCTTATGTGGTGACAGAAACTTGTAAATGCTCACTTTTGATTGTTCCTCAAACTAAAGGAATTATTTACCATATGTGGAAAACAGCTGATGCTTTCCAGGCGTTCTGTTTTTCTTTGTGGATCTTTTCCTGTAGAACTTACTCCACATTTTGCATTTTAAAAAAACACAAACGATAAAAATAAAACCCAAGTTGCAGTAAAAACAAAAGTCATCCTGTGCTTGTCACTGCAAATTTACACAATCTCAGTTCCCCCTTCTGTCCTCGCTGCTTCTAATTTCAGCATCCGACCTGAAAGTGGAAGTTTCTCCACCCGTATGTAGAAAGTCGTTCTGACCGTACCCAGGACATGTCTGTCTTATTCATTTTCAGTTTGACCGTTTTTGCTGTGCCTCGAGAAGCAGCTTTTCTTCTTCTCTTACATGTTTGTGGCCACAGTTTAACCACAAGAGCTAACTGACTTGAACTTTTTGTCTTTACATTGAAAACATTTTTTTTTCTCCCGTGTGGGCTCTGATTGAACATTCAGACGTTAAGAATTGATCTTTTTGTACTAACCTTCCACTTTGAGTCTTTGAAATGCTACTTCAGGAGGCAATTTTCAACATGCAGATGCTTTTTTTTCAGTCTGTTGACCAGGTTCAAAGTGTTGAGGCAATGATGAGCTGTGTTTGGAACTGTGTAAATCAAAGGTGTAAATTTTTTTCCAGAGGATGTAAAAATGTTTGATGGACACTGTGCAGAAGATTAAAGTATTTTCTTTCACTATGCCGCCTGTTTAATAGTATCATGTGCTGTTAATTTACACACAGTGTACACGTATCCTGATTATGGTAATGCACTCACCAGCCACTTTATTAGGAACCCCCAACTACTTTGAGTGGATAGGCAGGCTGCAGTAACTCTAATAATTTAAAACCAATGTATGCAGAAGAGCATCTTTGAATGCACAACAGGTCTAACGTTGAAGTAGATGGGCTACAGAAGCAGAAGACCATAGTTGGGGCCACTCCTGGCTACAATTTGCACTTGCTCACCAAATCTGGACGTTAGAAAACTGGAACATTCGGATGACAGATCCAGAATTAGGCATGGACACAGAAGCTTGAGTATTGCTGACCATGTCCATCCCTTTATGACCACAGCGTACCCTTCTTTTGATGGTTGCTTCCAGCAGGATAAAGTAATATTACAGTCTCAAACTGGTTTCTTAAACACGATGATGAGTTCACTGCACTTAAATGGTCTCCATAGTTACCAGATCTCAATCCAACAGCGCACCTTTGAGATGTGGGGAAACGGGAGATTGAAATCAGGGATGTGCAGGTGCGTGATGCTATCACATCAATCTGGAGCAAAATCCTTTAGAGTTTCCAGCACGTTGCCCAATCGATATGTTTCCGGTATGTAAAGTGTACATGTCGTATATCCACTTTTTGCACGTGTGCACAAGATTTCTTCTTGAAAGAGTTATTTTAACACCGAGAAATATGTTGACAGAGCACTAAAGCATCGTCTCCTAAAGTAATAATGAAATCTTTCCTCGCCAATATTTACTTTTCTTGCCATTGCCTTTTCTGCTCTCGGGCCAATCCTTGAAGCAAACGGCACTGTACTTGTGGACTCAACGTTTTTATACAACATCTGTCACTCACCGAAAAAACAAACTCAAAAGGTCTTTTTTTTATGGAGTCATTTCAAGTCATCGCTTTTATTGTGATATGCTGTTAATGCAGAAATGTTGACTGTAGCAGTTTTGATCTAAAGTGTGTATACTCGTGTAGCAGGAGGCTCACTGGCAGCAGCTAATCTTTCCTAACCAGTAGGTTGAATTTAAAGTGTTCCCAGATTTCTGATGCTTTGACTTCTTCTACAGGCAGTTTAAAAACAGCATTTAGTAACTGAGAACATTCTTTATACTGAAATAGTCTCAAAGATATTTTATCCTTGAAGTCAGTGTCTCCATCCCTTTACTGTGAAGAGTGACTGGCTGGTGGTGGATAGAAAATCTTCATCAGGCTCTCGTAGCTGAGGAATGTGACAGCGTTGACTGGAAATGCTCTCAGGCTGTTCAGCAGGAGGCCTTTGAAAAACACCCTCACTCCTTCTTCCCTCACGCTCACTCTCATGCAGTGCAGGACGCCGCTGTACTCCCGCCCGCCGGCCCCCGACATCTGGAGCCGAGCTTTCACGACGTCCATTGGCGTGGCGAAGGACCAGGTCACCACACCTGCGAATCCACCTGCCATCAATATCGCAAAGGTGCCTGAGGACAGAGAGGCAGAACTAAGACAATATTGAGGAGTTTTCTAAACAAATTGTTTTCATTAAACTATTTGCCAAAAAATGTGCCAATGCTTTTCAAAGCAATCCACTCAATCCACTCACTCTCTCGTAGAGCCAAATATGAGGTTGATATAGTAAAATTGGATTCATGCGCTACAAACTGAAAGCCTTAAAGATTTAAATGACTAATTCCAGTTGAGCAGCTTTTGTGAGATGAAGTCCTTTTAAAATCTGTCAGAATACAAGAAACTATCCCACTATGATATCCAGTATTATGTTATGATTGTGACTTTGTAAGTTACTCTCTGACCTGGCTCTTTGCCATCTTGAGTGAGAGCCTTACGAGTGACCTCGTAAGGTAAGAAGTAGAGCCCATAGCAGGGGACGTCCCTCAGAGTGAGGGCCAGGCCTCCTCTGTACAGACCCCTGAGCCCCTCCTCCCTCACGATGACAGCGACGCAGTGCACGGGTCCGCGATATCGTGTTGACGTCGATTGACCCTGAAGACGCACCTTGACCAGGTCAATGGGTGCACAAACCGACACCTGAAAACAGATTTATGGGCTCAAAATGTGGTCATAAATATTTTGTACTTGTAAATCAGGATTTGTATGTGTAAAAA